TGGTCGACCAGGGGTGTGGTCGACCTGGTGAGGTCGACTGGAGGCGGCCGTCGACTTGGGAGGTCGACGGGTACATACAGGAGCACCTGGTCGACGTGGTTGCCCGGTCGACCAGGTTACCTGGGTGACGAGGTTCTGCGGAGGAGTGCGACGGTCGCCCAGGCGAAGTTGGCGAGTCCGACCTCGTCGGTGGTATCCCGAGGTCGAGTCGTCAGCGCCAGGTTGACTTGGTGCGTGCGCTGTGCAGGTGACAAGGCTCCGCACGCCAATCATCTGCGAGCACCTGCGAAGCTGGTGCGATGCTGTTCTGCGGGAGCAACGCTGGCACGCCGTCAACCTGCAACGTTGGCACACCGTCGACTTTGCACTGCTGGAGCGCGGTCGACCAAGTCGTGCTGGAACGCGGTCGACCATGCTGTGCTGGCAGTCGACCGACCTGAATGCTAGCTCTGATGTAGTCTAGCCATGCCAACTTCATTGTACCATTGTTGTCAACTTTCTCTAGTGAAACTCTTGCCAATTCTACCCGTGAACTAGCAAGCTGTGTGTGCACTAGGAAAACGACTAAGGACCAACGAACGCAGAGATGACACGAGCACCCGTGCCTAGCCCGTAGTCTAGCTCCCGTTGTAGTAGTTATCTCCGCATGGTGCGGTGAGCGTGGACGGCACACGACTTACCTTTCAGTCAGGTCGACGTAGAGGTCACTTACCTAAGTTGTTCGTAGGCCGGCAGCCGTGCAGTCACTAGCGTGCGCGTAGGTGACGCCAAGGTGATGGACACCCTGGAGGGACGGCTGGAGGATGCGAGGAGAGGCCATGACGCCCAGGAGTACGGGACGATACCCTGGGCGGTCGTCGAGGCCGGACTCCGCTCCGTGTGGGCAGCGGAACATCCCCCTTCTCGACCAGCTTCTCCTCGACCGGTGACCAACGAAGGCGGCGTCGACGTGGGCGTCAACGTCGGAGGTGACCAAGTCGGCAGCAGTGCGGGAGGCACGTCGAGGCAGAGAGGTGTGATTCATGCCGATGAAGTCGGCGGCACTCAGGCGCGAGGGGTGCAGTCGTCGGCGGCTGCAGGCTCCTCGTAGGGCGACGTCGGAGGACGACGAAGCGGATTGTCGCCGATGTCGGCGACCCAGGTGACGGCGGGCGGGATTGCACCGAGCTACGGCTACTTCAAGTTTGCGCCGGAAAGGATCTTGGTCACCCCGCCGCTCGTTGGTCGACAGGACATCCTCACCTGGAAGGAAGCCATTGAGCCCCAGCTGGAGATGGCCGGGCTGATCAACTTTGCCCGAGGATCCGTGGTGACGCCGGACGACCCCGACCTGCGTGCGGAGTTTCGCGCCGTGCAGCTGTTGACCTTCATGGTCATCTCGCGGTGCTGCTCGCCGGGCGTGCAGATCGCCTTGAAGTGGTGTCGGGAGTACCTCGACGCCGGCCACCAGGCGTGGCACTTCATTGAGTCGACCTACCAAGTCACCGACGACCTGTTCATCGCCCAGCTGGAGGGACAGCTGACGCACCTGCGTATGGGCGACGAGGAGACGGCGACCGACTACTGCAACCGGGCCAGGCGAATTCTCGCCACCATCAGGATGGCCGGCGCGCAGTACTCGACGGCGTCGTATGTCACCCACGTCATGCACGGACTTTCGAGCAACTACAACCTCCTGAAACGGCTGTCATTATACCATTGTTGTCAACTTTCTCTAGTGAAACTCTTGCCAATTCTACCCGTGAACTAGTAAACTGTGTGTGCACTAGGAAAACGACTAAAGACCAACGAACGCAGAGATCACACGAGCACCCGTGCCTAGCCCGTAGTCTAGCTCCCGTTGTAGTAGTTATCTCCGCACACCCAACAACAAAGAACGTGTTTTTGGTTCGATATACTGTAGCTAAATCGAGTGCAACTAGGGGATTCATGATTTATGGACTGCTATGCTGCTGCTGGAATACAACTGCAAATAGGAAAAACAAACAGGCATACACTTCAACGAAATGAAATCCAATGCATTATTTAAAGGCGCATCATGCTACAAAAATCATTCTTGTATGGCACATGGTCTCATGGAAGTGTACAGGTTACTCCTGCATGGCATTCCTGCACTGGCAAGTGATCTCCACACCCATGGATGCTTGCCGAGCAGCAAGGGCTCTCTTTGAAAAGAAGCAGCGTGTGGGGGGTCGATTATTGAGGCGCCTCAGAAAATGTGGCAGTGAAAAGGCCAGCAACAGCGGTGGAAGGAGGAGCAAGAGCAGCAGCAGGTTTTTAGGCGCCTGGAGATCAGACAGAATCACCCCCACGATGGTAGTGCCTGGCGGCTCAAAGGGGAAGTTGGTGCCTGCGGGATGGATGAGGTGTGGGCGGGAGGCTGGAAGGAGCGGATGCGGATGCATGTAAAGCAAGGTGACTTTCGAGTCGACTCAAAATTCACCGCGGCTCAAAGGGTAAGTTGGTGCCTGCAGGATGGATGAGGAGAGGGCGGGAGGCAGGAAGGAGCGGATGCGGATGCATGTAAAGCAAGGTAACTTTTGAGTCGACTCAAAAGTCACCGCGGCTCAAAGGGTAAGTTGGTGCCTGCAGGATGGATGAGGAGAGGGCGGGAGGCTGGAAAGAGCGGATGCATGTAAAGCAAGGTGACTTTTGAGTCGACTCAAAAGTCACCGCGGCTCAAAGGGTAAGTTGGTGCCAGCAGGATGGATGAGGAGAGGGCGGGAGGCAGGAAGGAGCGGATGCGGATGCATGTAAAGCAAGGTAACTTTTGAGTCGACTCAAAAGTCACCGCGGCTCAAAGGGTAAGTTGGTGCCTGCAGGATGGATGAGGAGAGGGCGGGAGGCTGGAAAGAGCGGATGCATGTAAAGCAAGGTGACTTTTGAGTCGACTCAAAAGTCACCGCGGCTCAAAGGGTAAGTTGGTGCCAGCAGGATGGATGAGGAGAGGGCGGGAGGCAGGAAGGAGCGGATGCGGATGCATGTAAAGCAAGGTGACTTTTGAGTCGACTCAAAAGTCACCGCGGCTCAAAGGGTAAGTTGGTGCCAGCAGGATGGATGAGGAGAGGGCGGGAGGCAGGAAGGAGCGGATGCGGATGCATGTAAAGCAAGGTGACTTTTGAGTCGACTCAAAAGTCACCGCGGCTCAAAGGGTAAGTTGGTGCCAGCAGGATGGATGAGGAGAGGGCGGGAGGCTGGAAGGAGCGGATGCGGATGCATGTAAAGCAAGGTGACTTTTGAGTCGACTCAAAAGTCACCGCGGCTCAAAGGGTAAGTTGGTGCCAGCAGGATGGATGAGGAGAGGGCGGGAGGCTGGAAGGAGCGGATGCGGATGCATGTAAAGCAAGGTGACTTTTGAGTCGACTCAAAAGTCACCGCGGCTCAAAGGGTAAGTTGGTGCCAGCAGGATGGATGAGGAGAGGGCGGGAGGCAGGAAGGAGCGGATGCGGATGCATGTAAAGCAAGGTGACTTTTGAGTCGACTCAAAAGTCACCGCGGCTCAAAGGGTAAGTTGGTGCCAGCAGGATGGATGAGGAGAGGGCGGGAGGCTGGAAGGAGCGGATGCGGATGCATGTAAAGCAAGGTGACTTTTGAGTCGACTCAAAAGTCACCGCGGCTCAAAGGGTAAGTTGGTGCCAGCAGGATGGATGAGGAGAGGGCGGGAGGCAGGAAGGAGCGGATGCGGATGCATGTAAAGCAAGGTGACTTTTGAGTCGACTCAAAAGTCACCGCGGCTCAAAGGGTAAGTTGGTGCCAGCAGGATGGATGAGGAGAGGGCGGGAGGCTGGAAGGAGCGGATGCGGATGCATGTAAAGCAAGGAGCATTATGACGTGGCAGGGCAGTGGGACGCGATTATGGTGACGTCTCAAAAACTCTCTACCATCATGAAGCAGGAGCATTATGACGTGGGAGTGCAGTGGGATGTGATTAAGGTTCACAACGGTTCTGATGGAGACGGGGCAGTGGGACTGGAGTTGAGTTGCACTTGATAAAAGTCGGGATGCATTAGGGGCTGTGAGGTCTTGACGCTTGTGGGTGGGTGCACTTGCGCACATAACAAACAAGCACAACCCCAATGGCAACTGCTATGCTTATGTGGAACAAGCGCCCCGTGTATGGTGCCACTTGCCTTTTGAGGCGCCTCGAAAAAAAAAAATGCGGGTAATGAGACGACTTTTGAGGCGCCTAAAAAATGGCAACGGCTGTGCTTATAAGGAACAAGCGATATGTGTATGGTGCCACTTGCCGTTTGGAGGATTCTTGGTTCTGTCTGGCTGGTAGTCAGGATTACCAATAGGGCTTTGGATTATTGTTCCTGTCAGCACGGTACAACACGGTACAACACGGTACAGCACGGTAGAGCACGGTACAGCACGGTAGAGCACGGTACAGCACAGTACAGCACGGTACAACAAATTACACGCAGTACAAAGCAAGATTGTAGCGCGACAAGCCCCGTGTAATAAGTCGTTTTTTTAGCCAAAATCCGGAGTACCTTTATAAGGCAGGGTGGGCTGAACTCAAGGTGTTTGGGATGGTAAGTAACGAACGCGGAGGCAGAGCATGCACACAGAGGCTAACAGAGGTGCTTGAAGTAGTGTTTTGAGACGTCTCAAAGGACTACTTCAAACACGGAGGAAGAGCAAGAACACAGAGGCTCACAGAGGCGCAAGCACACACGATGCAGGTGTGGCTTGAGTGGAAGGAAAGAG